ACAATATCGATGAATTGAACAAGATCAAATATGTAGTTATACCACCTTGTACGGCTAAAAATCAAATGTACGTTAAAATAGATCCCTATGCCTTCCTATTTGATCACAAAAAAGACCCATTGACTCGTGAAATATCGATAAATTTATCAATAAGAGATGCGACGCGCAATCATTTATTTCTCCAAAAGACGTATACTACGGTACCCAAGGTTCACTGTCTTGGGCGCCAGCGTTTGGTATAGAGTGACAGCGGCAATGTTGAAAATTAGAAACGACGGACTAATTTCAAACAAGTTGGCATTGCAAGCGTTTAGCATATCTGAATCTCCCGTGAAATTAAAAGTCGATTCAATTATGAATCAATTGTACCTCGGTTATTCTTCAGAATCAAGCGTTTGGTACATCTGAATTTTACTTTCTCGTGTAATTAAAAGTCGATTGAACCTCGTTTATTCTTCGGAATAACTGGGGTTGTTTTCACGTCACTCGTTCCTTAATAAATAAACAACATATAAATAACAATGACATACACAGGATTTGTCACCTACTCGGTTACGAACCTAAATGGCCAACCCCAAAACCACAACCAGAAAACCGTGCGAACACGACATATTTGAAATGGACGAAAGATATGTATGCCGACATTGCGGTCTAATTTTGGGGTGGGTTCCTTCATACACCCCTGAAGAGATGGGAGATAGATATTACCATCATCACGTTTGGAAAAAAAACACCAGAGAGAGAACTTAACTCTGAATTGCCCAGTGAACAATCGGGTCACATCATATATGTCTTAAATCGAGTTTTAAATGGTAAGATATCCAGAGAAAGATCGTTGAGGGCTTTAATCGCGGTATGTTATCAAGAGGCAACCGGGGAGGACGATTTAAAAGTAAAAGATTTGTTTCAAGTTTCGGATAAGTATTGGAAAAACGCCTTCGACATATTAAACCTCGCCAAACAAGATTTCCTAAAACGTATAGATTGCTTAACAAGATCTTTCAAAACGTATAGATTGACCAAACTAGATTTTTCAAAACGTATATGTGGGAGGGGCGCATGAACAGGCACACCAGAACACCCTGGGCTCGGATCTCTGCTGGTTTTATTATTAAATTTCAGCAGTAGACAGGCCAACAGCGGAGGCGACGGCAAACATGAGGAATTTGAAGATAAAGAAACACAACTTAAGTTAATCGTTCCTTCTAGGTGAATGGCAGGAAATGTTTTGAAATGGCACAGTTTGACCCTAAAATGATGAAATTGGAAATGTCTGGAAAAGTTTTTATCTATTCATCCCTCCAAATTGACTAATTGCCAAGAAAATTAAATTCACACTGTGGACTTCCTCCTGATGGAAATAACAAAGAGTTCATCCTATTGTCATTATCTAATCCTAAAATTACATGTACATTGGAATAAAGACTATAAATCAATACCCCTCCAGTACTGGGAAGATTACTCTCTGTGACAGGTCACTTTTTATGTTAGTTGCCTAGCGCCCTCAGTTGGCTGTGCCAAGTCAGCTATTTTGTGCAAGTTCATTCTGAGACCCCCTCTTGGACCTTGTGAGTTCATTTAGTGACCCCCTCTAGGCACCTGTGTAGCACACTGTCCTTTGTTTCATTGCACACTGAGTCTTCAGCCAGTAAACACTAAGGGTTCACCCTGCTAAAAAAAAAAAACTACATCAATCATCAAGTTCTTCAGAAGTTTGGGATAGCCAAGGCTGGGGTAAGTTTATTATATTGTACATGTATAAAGATTTGTAATTGAAGGAAGAGCTATTTAAGGAATGTACTTTTCCTCAGTAGGTTGGCCTTATAACTGTATCAATTCTTGGGTTGTGTGCGGTGTAGACCAACTATACCCACTGGAGATAACTTCCAGGTTTGACTGAATTGTTGAGACTTCTCTTGCACATACTATTCAGACTCTAATCGTGCTTGTGTCAATTAAATATCATCCCATTCAATCATTTATTTTATTCATTATTTTGATTTGATTGTGGAGTTAAGTTCCCCTTTTATTGAGGATTTAAATTAAGATTATTTTAGCTTGTTTCTAGTACAACTTTACCCTTTTCCTTCTCTTTGTGCTTTATGTAGTGATTAGAGTGTACATGTATCTCATTTTGTTAGGTTTTATATGAAGTTGGAGTGTCTTATTTTCTCTAGACATGTGTCTCTTTGCTCTGAGGTCTAGAGCAGCTCTCTTCCATGCATGTACATGTACACTGTACTGGTGTGT